AATTTTAATTTTAGCTTCCAACGAACAGCGTTGTGGATCTTAGAGTACGTGTTGTCTCGCCACAGAATGAACAATCTGCACCAAGTCCGGAAGTTCGAGCCCGAACTCGTTGTTCTGCCCCACCGATGCCGCCGCAAGGAATACGTTTGGATGCCCCAACAACCAACGAAGTTCGTGTTTCCTGGGCACGACCAGCCAAAGATACCTGGCAGTGTGATCAGTTGAATTATGAAATAGCATATCGGGCAGGTGGTCAACCGGAGCGCATTGTGCCGGTACCCGGGGACCAGACGGAGTATACGTTCCCCGCGGAAGCTAATACACGATGGGCCGTCAAACTCAGATCCAGCAATCAGGTTGGATCGAGTCCATGGAGTTCCGAACAAGTGATCACTACCAGGCAAGGAACGCCAGGCTTAGTGAGAGATTTACGATTGCGAGCAAAAAGTCCGAACGAGGTGCATGTACAGTGGCTTGCACCTTTGGTTCAGCGTGGTACTATTGTTGGGTACGATATCAGCTACCGGCTGAAGCATCGTCTTGCATGTCCGGATGAGGAGCCGCGTGATGTGAGCCGTGACTTTGTTACTGTTTACAATCACAAGGATTTGGAGTATACAATCACCGGATTGTTGCCATTCTCTTTGTATGAAGTACGTGTGCGAGCACGGACCACCGAATTGGGACCTGAAGAATCGAAGGATATAGCGACCGAGCAGCAACCACCAAGTGCCCCGCCCTTGAATCTTCAGCTTAGCTATGCGCTCGAACGATCAATCAGCTTCCAGTGGGAGCCGGTAGAATGCTCACAAAGGCATGGACATATTGTGAACTACGAGTATGAAATCCAGGGACAGGATGATTGGGCCAAACTGGAGCGACAAATCGCCAATACCACTGACACCAGGATCAATATTGAAGGACTGACACCGTTCACGAAGTACATCATGCGTGTGAAAGCATTCAATAGCATCGGTGGTGGACCTAACACGGAGAATTTGGATGCAATGACTGCGAAAGCGGATGCACCGCTACCACCGCAAGATCTGGTAGTTACACAGGAGGGTACTGACTTCTTCGTAATTTCCTGGTTGCCCCCGTATCCACCGTATGGACCACATGACAAGTACAAAATACGCTATCAGCTAGTAAGTGAGAACCGTTGGAATGAGATCGAGAAGCTCACCGGCGATCGATTGCTACG